TCATTTCCAATTACCATTGGAACCTTGTGCCTTTCCCTTTAGGTAGCTATCCCTTTTCCCTGAAATATTTTTTTCATTCTCATCTTTGTTTCTACTACAGTTCTCTTTCTTATTTCCTACCCCCCCTTTTTAATACAAACTGAAGTCTTCCCACAAAAACAAAAAAAAATCCCTTTTGCTATCATCTCTTCTTCCATCCCCAATGCTATCTTCTCTTCTTTCCCAATGCTACTCTAGGCACCATTTCAAAAATGTGTTTATTGTGGGATAAGCTGCCTCAACAGACAACAGCAGCACATTGAGAAAGTCATGGACTTGGTCTTTGATGCCATCTGGATGGAAGATACTGTACCAATCTTGATTCACTTCCTTCCAACACTCATTAACTCCATCAAGGACAATTGAAAGACACTGGCACAGTTAGTGCCTATATTCCAGTGGCTCAAAGGGAAGTGCCACGTTCAGGAGAAATCCATCCCATTCCTGCTTCAGCATCCAAGACCAAATACTTGTGGTGTCTGCACTGAGATGGTCACAGAGAGAACACTCAGTCCCTGTAGGCAAGGAGAGATGCTGTCTGGCTGTGATGGCACACCAAGTTTACATTGGGCCTTCATGTCTCCAATTACAAGCCATAATGGCCTGCTACCAGATATTTCTTTGGGAGAAGATGGGCTCCCTCTACAAACATCTCCTGGAGCAATAAAGAGAGCTGGTGTGAGTCTTTCAATCTGAGGCCCCCTGCTTGTCCTGTCAACAGATCAATATGGCATGCCTCCACATCAAGTGCAATTCCAGGGATCCTGTTGGTGCAGTGGCAATTCATTGACATGCCTAGCCACATGTGGGTGGGTTATTGCAGGAGGCACACAGTATAATTGAAGATCTTTTATTTGATGGTGAGGTCCTCTTCAACATCAACATCAAAGTGGATTAAAGGCTCAACTCCATTCAGAAGACCAGAATGACAGCAAAGACGATGGGGTCCAGTCAGCACAGCAGTACCACAGCAGTCATGTAAGTGGAGTGAAGCTACCTATACCAAATACTTTCCACGGGGACAGTACTCCTGCCCTCCATGACAACAGCTGGCTGTCCAACCCATACAGAGGGGGTTGCTAGTCAGTTCCATCAGCCAAAAAAGAGACTGGAGACAGAAAAATGTCACTTTGCCAAGGACAGTTGACCAGTCTCTCCTCCCCTGGATAGTTTGATGAACAAACCTCTCTACCTATCTTCCCACTTGAGACCTGCTTGATAGGTGGGTCCTTTCCATAGTGGAGGCAAGACACTTAATTAAATTTGACACTCAATTTGGGGCTGTTTATGCCACCATCCCCTGTCTCTCTTCTCAGTCAATCCTCTCCACTGCAGATCAGCTTGGCAACTGCAAGAGTCTGCCTCTGTGATCTCAACAGAAAGGGCCTTGAAACTCCAAGTCAATCCCAGAGCTACAATACAGCAAGTACAGCAGCTCCCCAGGTTCTTGGCAATAACAGCTGCAGTGGTACCATTCACCAGAATTTGGGTCCACTGCAGTTTTGATTTGTGCATGCTTACTGTCCTCAACACCATTCAACTCCATTCCATTTGGATGCATCTTACCATCCTGCACTCCATATAGTCAAGCTTAGCATGGTGAATCCAGTCAATACAGGGAGACTGCTTCTCACTACCAGAACCAGATATCACAGTGACAACAGTCTCCTCCCTCCAAGAGTGGGGAGTGCTTTGTGGCACCAACAAGACCCATGGAGCAAGGACTACTTGGGAGAGAAATAAGCACATCAGTTACCTGGAACTTGTGGCAGTACAGAAGGCCTTCCTTGTTTTCCAACCCATTCTTCAGAACGGACATGTGCAGATTGCTGTGGGCATCACTACCTGAACAAACAGGGAGGCACCAAATTTATTTTTGTGGCATGTCTAAGCATGCACATATGGAACTGGTGCATTAACATTATACTCATTAAACTAACCTTGGTCCATGAGACCAGGATGGTCAAGTTCAGAGCAGATTCCCTGAGCAGACAAAGCATGAAAATACACAAATGGGAGATAGGTCCCAGGATCCTTCCAGAGATTTTCTATATCTGGGGGACATCATCCATTGATCTTTTCTCCAACAAGACCAACACAGTGTGCAAGAAATTTTGGTCCTAGGCTGGGACTAGCAAGGGCTCACTGGGAGATGTGTTCCTCCTCTGCTGGAATGGGGCTCTTCCGGCCATTCCTGCTCATTACCAGGGTACTGGCAAAGATCTGCAGAGACAGAACCACCTGCATCCTCATCACTCTAGCGTGGCACTGGCAGTTGCAGTTTGTGTACCTGCTTAGGCTGTTGAAGAGGACATTCATCTGCTTTCTGTTGAACCCAAACATTATATCACAGAACTAAGGGATGATCCTCCATTCTGACATTGCCAACCTGTGCGTCACAGCATAGAAGATTGTTCGGTAGAGACAGGTACAGTTCACTGACCAGACCTGCAGAAAATCCTCAATGCAGCACTGAGACCATCTATGAGGAGATCATATCTGGAGTGGAATACATTTTCTGCCTTTATCCAGCAAGAATCCTTCAGTCCTTGTCAATTATCTATCCAACAAATCCTTGACTTTCTGCACACGTTTTACTACAGGAGTCTGAAACTGTCTCTCATCAAGGTTTACTTGGTGGCAATCTCCTCATTCCATCCACCGATCCAGGGTCTGTCAGTCTTTCGCATCCATTGCCCCAAATCCTTCATCCCAAGCTGGAGCCTGTCAGTCATTCTGTAAGCTCTCATGAAATGGCCTTTCAAACCTTTGGCCACTGCAGATCTCTGTCTTTTCTCCTGGAAGAATAGCCTTCCTTGTGGCCATTACATTGTGGCCATTACATTGGCCACAAGGGCCAGTGGGCCACACTCTGGGTTGACCAACCATATCTCACCTTTTACAGAGGCAATATGGTCTTGCATCCAGACCCCTCATTTCTTCCAAAGGTCACCTTAGCATTCAACCAAGAAATTGTTTTGCTAGCCATTGCTATATCTTCAAACCCAATGGAATCTACCCAGTACACACTTGATGTAGACAGGGCACTAGCATACTACCATTTGCTATGGCATGAGGTTCAGAGTTGAACTCATCAACCCTCAACTGCTTGTACACTGGTGCTTGAGATCATCATGTTTACCTACCAGCTTGCAGGACTGAAGCTTCCTGAGTGACCCGGAGCACACTCCACAAGGGTGGTGGCCACCTCAGTGGTGTTTCATGTGAGCATTCCCCTGCAGGACCTTTGCAAGGTGGTGAAATGGTCTGTCCTGCTGATAGCATTACTGGCTCAATGTCTGCACCAAATAAGACTGCTCCTTTGGCAGGGTAATCCTCTCTACAGTCCTCTGCTGACTATACCCTCCCACCTCCAGCTAGAAGGTATGCTCACTAGTCACCCATGTGTGTGATGCACAGCAACCTTTAAGAAGAAAGTCAGTCTGTGCTTACCTGTAGCTGTTGTTTTTTGAGTGTTCATCCCACTCACACATCCCACCCACCAACTACAATTGCAATTCCTCATTGAACAATTTCATTGTTCTTGGGCCTGAGGTTGGCTTTTTACTGCCCTTCCCTCAGTTCTGAGGCCACAATGTCAGTCTCATTGGAACTGAGGAACTGGGTGGGGATCCCTCCCAGATATATTGAGTGGCAGAAGGTGAGGGACTCCTGTCAAAACAAGTCTAGCTAGAAAACCTTCCCAACAGCAGGCCATGCACAAGCAATCTGACTTCTGTGGCCAGATCCACCTTCTCCATGAAGGGGCAATTGTTGCACCAACTAAAGCTAGCCAAAGGAACACCTGTTCACTGGTACTTCCTAACAAACCATGAGGAGGTCTAAGAGCAAACTGTGTACGTGCTCCTTCAGAGAGAGTGTGCTGTCACCCGGAAGTAGTTCTCTGTGGGATAGCCTGTCTACTGATCAATAGGATCTCCATTTCATAATAAGTTTCTCTCAGAAGTCAAGTCAAATGCTTTTTCCTTTCTATGTAGCAGACTTGAAGATCATGAGTGGTAGTTTTAAACCATTTAATCTAAATTGTTACTGAAGTCAGTTTTGCAGAAACAGTCTGCTTCAGCGCATGGCTCAACATTAGTAATTGGTCAGTAAGGATAAGCCTACAGCAATATATCCTGGCTATATTGCTGTAGGGTTGGATCCAGATTTAGTAATATGTAGGGTAAACCTATTAAAATCAGTGATTCTTAAGTTAGTCATTACTATCTAACTTAAGAGTAAAATAATTCTTATACTTTAAATAACTAGCCATCTTGAGACTTTTGTAAAGGGCAGGCTAGAAATGCCCCAAATAAATAAATAGGCTCTTACAGTAGGTACCTCATTATTTCTTTATTTGGTGGCTGTTGATATTTTTACTGCTGTAATTAAATTCCACTCATTCCAAGTAATTACCTCTTTCATAATCTAAGAAAATAACAATTGGATCTAAAGTTATCTCATAAACTAACATAAATTTAATTGTGTTTACTTCATCCCTTTCCTGATCATAGCATCCTAGGACAACTCCTTCATAAGTCATGAATAACTTAAGTGCCAGTGATTTCAGTAGAACTGCTTTAAGTAATGACTATATGTAGATCCAACTCAGAGTGATTTTCTTAACATCAGTAAGTATATTTATCAGTGAGCTTGTAAAAATCAGTGATAAAGTTAAAGCAGTCTTTTGTCTGCCCTTGCAAATTCATTTAGTACTGTCATTTCATGGTGCTAGTCTAATAAGTTGTTCTTTTAAGATTGTGGTTTATTTTTGGCAGCAGTTCAATATGTATTTATATTGTTGATCTGAATTTCTTTAAGACACTTTGAGTGCTATTTTTGAGAGAAGTTAATTCATAAATTTCCTAAATAAATACACAAAGCTTTTTGAGGGTGAGGTTTTGGATGTCAAACAGTAAGATATCAAGAGAGCTGATTTTGTTTGTTTATACCTCCAGGTTGATTTAAGATACTGAAAAGTCAGAAAGGACGTGAAACTGTATCGGCGAGAAAGGAAAATACTCTTTCTCTGAATTAAAGGCTTGGAGTGGAGACATCATGAGCGATGTTACAATTGTGAAAGAAGGTTGGGTTCAGAAAAGGGGTAAGTGTTAAATGAAACATGCTGCATACTTAGAATTAGAGCATAAATTGTTATTGTAATTACATTTTTGCCATTTAACATGTTAGTCTTATTAGGAATAGGTATTAATAGGAAATGAGACTTTAATTGAAATATTTTAGAGAATATGTTCAATGCTTCATGTGTGAATAAGTACATTGAGTTCCATAACTGTATTCCTTGCCCTCAGGAATTTGTTTATGTGGCTGTTTAATGCCAAAAGCATAAATAGTCAGGGACAAACACAATATTTAGAATGTACCTTAAGTTCTTTGCTAATTTGTTGCCCATTTATGTAATGTCCACTGTAGACAGAAATTATGCTGTGGCCAGAGTGGAGTGCATAACAATGCTTTTCTTTTTCAAGGATGTGAATAGAAGCCAAGCAAATTATCATCTAATAAGTTACCTATACTTTCCTTTGGGTTTTATACTGAATTGTTGCTAAATACCTTGAATCATGAGCAAATTGAGTACATGTCCTGCAAAAAAATATGACGATTCCATTGGTAAGGGGGAGTTAATTTTTCCTTGATCTCCTTATCCCTGCAAATTTCCAGGTTCCCTCCCTTCCTCCCAAAATCTGTCCCAGTCCCTTGCAGCTGATTGGGGGAAAGGGCTGCAGGGGAATGGGGGAATTCATTTGGCTGGCCAAAGGCCAGCATTGGATTAAATCATATGCTTTATTATGGATAATTCTTCAGTTCATATGATTCAAAAATGTAGACTACTGTAATCAGTCCTTATTTGCAGTGTTCATAGTTTTCACTCTGACATTTGACTTGACTAACAGTGATGGATTGTTGGCTAGATTTTCACATGCTAATGTAGCTGGTTATATTGCTGCTAAATTTACAGTCAAAGTAAAGTGAAGATATGCACTGGGACCAACATGCTTCATTTAATCCATGTCTAGTAATGTACTATTTTTGCCAGGAATGCCTTCTTGCCTATATCTTTGTAAAACATATATTAATAATATTGCAGGAAAACTGGAAAATCCTGTTTTTGTTGCTCTGAAGAATCTTGATAGTATTTTAGCTATTCTGCTGTATTCATCTGGTTGTGGTACTATATGAGATCAAGTAGAACTATTAACACATTTATTTATGTAAGTACAGATTTCTCTCTGTTATTTTTCAGAATTGCAGTGCAATGCTGCATTGCTTTTGCCCCTTCTCACACTGTTCTGGGGTATTCCCCAATCTTCTGGAACAGGTTACCAAACAGCATACATAACTATTGAAGGGACTTGCAGAAATTCCCCCTCCCCTGTTTCACTTAAAGAGATGAAACAGCATCCTCAAAGAGGTTGGAAAGGGTTAAAAGGGGGCATGTTGATGGGAGAGGAAGGAATGAAGAGGGTTCTTTCACCTGCAAGCCTTGCTGTCTCCCATCTCAACCTTCAGATAGTTAATGAGCTGAATGGGTTCAGAAGCCCATCTTCAGGTAGAAGCAAAGTCAGGAACAGGAGGCTGTAAAAGTCTCTGCCAAGCTCTGCCTGGTTTTGAGGAGGGTTCTTAGAGTGGAATTTTTTTCTCCATAGAGTATTAATCCCTCAGGACTGCAATCTTAGTGAGATTTTTCAAACTAAAAACCTACCAGATTATATGTTGGAATACCATTTGTATGTAAGCAAAATATGAATGATGCATATTTGGCATATTTTATTTGTTTAAATGTAGTCTGCCTTGTCATTTATAGCAACAAAACAGCAAAATTAATATAACAGCAATTCTTAACAATTAAGGTTGCAATTTTTAAGCTTCTAGGGAAGTTCCATCAAGCATACAGCAGGATTCTTTTCTCTGCCTTGCTGCTGCCAGTGGGTTGGAACAACCAGCGGAGGCAATTTTCAACCCTCTATTCACCTTTTAAAATATTTTCCTCTAGATGGGCCTTGAATCTAGAGGAGTTGTGTCGTTTGGAGCATGGCTGGAGAAGCCATAGGTTTTTTTGTGTACTGGCCTCTCATCATTTCTCTCTCCATGCACTGGAACATCCAATTTTTAACAATTGTTACGTCCTCAGATGATGCTGTTGCAGCCTTGTAAATCGGGCTGCTGTGATTGTAAGGGAGCAGTGGGAGGGATTGTAGCAAAAGTCCCTCACCTAAAGTCATTGCACTGCCTACAGCTTTGGGAAAGGGAATCTGAAAAAATATTGTGGCCCTGGTTCACTCTCCAAATAACCGCAAAATGCAACAAAAGAATAGGACCATATATCAGTGGCTACTGCTTAGAATGACTGTGTGCTCTATCTGTGTTCAAAGGCAGTTATGTCTCAGAATATCAATTACTGAAGAACAGTAGAAGATTACTATGAATCTTATGTTCTACTTATGACCTTCCCAGAGGCATGTGGTCAACTATTATGGGAAACATATTGATGGACTAGAAAGGCCATTGCTGGCTTTTGTGTAGAGAAAAGTAATACAAAATTTGAAAAGTTTGTTATTTTCAGAAATGAGTATAAGACTTTTGGAGCAAATAGTACTGTACACATAGGTATTTATAGTAGCTAGCTGCTGAAGTTAGGTACTGTGTAAGTTTAGGCTTTTTACTTTTTAAATTTGCATTTTAGCTGTAATAACTTTTCAAAGTTTATCGCTATTTAAAATACCAATGGATTTTGAATTGTGCAGTAAAGAACAATTTCATGAAAGAGATGTTGCTTTTGCCAGAGGTCCAGATTTATTGTCATGCTGGCCCTGAGATAACTATTTAGACTGCAAAATGGGAGGAAAGGTAAGGACAATGAATGTTTCAAGGTGACTTTCTGGCTGCTACTGTGTGTTCCAACTGATGAGAAAAAGGAACCTTCTCTTCTGAAAATGAATCAAACTGTGAGGTTTGATTAACACATGCTGTCTCATTAAGATAATACTGTGTGTGATGGCTTGTAGGTGTTAGCATTGATAGTTACACTAGCCTGAAAGTTTAGTGCAAACAGAGCTAGAAATGACCCACAATGTATTTTTCAGCAAGTACTGCTTTAGACATACAGAAGAGTTGTAATATCTGAAAAAGCAGACTCTATGTTGCTTAGTAACATTGTGTCAAGATTTCTTTATGCTAAACGGCTGTATTGTGCATATGTAACATCTCACTTTCTTTTCTTCTTTCCAAATATATTTGAATCTAAAGGAACTAATTCTTTTTTACTGTGTTACTTGGCTTTAGTAACATAGTGTTCCGTAACTCATATTCTGCCAAAGAACATAGTGCTCCAAGTAATGTTCTTCTAAAAGTACTATGGTTTAAGTAGCACAGTATGTTAAAATGTATTAGCAAGTGATAAAAAGTTGAAATCTATTATAGGAATTTAGGTCTGGAAAAAAATAGAACTGATACAGAAACTACATTGGAACAAATAATATATATTCATGAGCACAGATTTATTTATTTGATTTAAACTCTGCCTTTTTACTGAAATTGACACTCTGGATGGCTTAGAAAAACGAGCTAAAACAGATTAAAACAATAGCACTCTCTCACAAATATAATGGTAAGTTCTGTGTACATCCTTTATTTCTTTTGGTTTCTTCTGTAAATGCATGCTTTTTCTTTAAAACTTGCTTTCTTTAAGTGCATTTATGTGGCTGAGAAAATGTTTTGAGGTTGCATTCTGGTTTTAAATTGGCCAGTAGCTCATCCTGGAATACATTTTGACATACATGCATGCTTAATGTGTCTATAAATGTGAAGGAATCTTTTCATAGAATGGCACAGGTATTCTTATTCATGTGAATATATGGGTTCCTTTACATTTATTGTCCTGAGCACCATAGACTCTGGCTGTATTTGAAAATTCTCCCTGAAATCTGAGTTTGGTGGATTTTACTAGGACATTGTTCTTCTTTGAGGTGGGCAGGGGGTAGGGTTCAGTTATGTTATAATCAGCAGAACTGGGGTTTTGCTGAAATGGGCCCTCACTGTGGGAACCTTATGATATCCATTTTTTAAATCTGAAAATAATTTCATTCGGTTATTACTTAGTAGAGAAGACCTCAGATAGTTCACTATTTTTGTGAAACTGAAACTCTGATTAAAATTGAAACTACAGATTATTAACAAAGGCATTTGGAAATGTCTTTAAAATCCATCTGGTTTCAGTGGCTTTCCTGTGAGCTGTGTTTTATGGTATTGCTGGTGGATTTTGGCTATAACTAATATTGGCTTTTTATATTTGAAGGATGAGTGTTTGTTTTTAGAGTTATTACTGTGTTTTTATTTATTAATGAAGTTAAGTTTTTTATGTGTTTTTAACCTGGAGTCTGTCTTGAGACCATTTTACTCTATAAAGTTAGATTAAGCATGTTAACTGCATAAATAACTGCTCAGCTTACCTGAATGAGTTAAGCTGGCCCAGTTCACATGTGACAACCAGCAACAAGTTATTTAAAGTATGGTTTGTCAGGACCCTGAGCAAATGAACACAAGTATGCCGACTTCTGCATGCTTGCTAGTTCCATTTAAATCAGCTTTGCTCAACAACTCAGGAATGTTGCCTGTCTTGTTTTTCTAATGTGACATCAGAAACTGAAATTCTAGATTGGTCAGGGTTTAGCTCAGCAGTCACCCATTGTTTGCTGTTGGGTTATAAAGTCAGGTTTGCTTGTCCCTTCCAGAGTTCCAGGTTTGGATGTCAAATGAAATAATCCAGTAACAGGGTTTCCCCAGGTTATTCATTAAAGCTTTTGAACAGCAGAAGCAACAAGTATACAAGAGGCAATATGTTTGCTTTCTTGAACTGGTATCATGTATGAACCAGCTCTATCTGAATTACTAGCATTTAATATTGATGATCAGGTATATAATACAATACTTGATTTCCATATTGATAACACCCAGTGTAATTCCTTTGAAGGACCTAGCAGATTTATGTAGATGTTAGCAACACTGGAGACAGCATGGAGCCCTGTGGACTCAATAAGTCAGGTCCTTCCTGGAGGAGGTATTGCCTACAAGCATCGCCATCTG